GCTGGGGCCCGGCCGGGAGGAGGTGACGATCGGCACCTGTCACTCCGGGGGCTTCAGTGCTGACGGGAACGAGTCGCTTTGTGCAAACAGCAGGGACTTGGAGTCGGGGCGGGGCGGGGGCTCCGCCGTGTGCCAGCACCTGCCTTCAGGAATGTCTACCGCAGCAGGGATGGGAGTCTCTGACCTGTCCACCCGGCACGGACACTCCCACGTTGACAAATTACTGCTCGCCCTGCTGGGCTGGGGGCAGGCCTGGGCAAGCTGGGTGGACAGACGGGAAGCGGCGTGCTGGTTAGCTAGTAAGGCCAGCTCCGGGCTCCATCCGTCCCAGGCCTCAGTCTCTGTGCCTGCCTTCTCGGGGAGTGGCTGTGGGCAGTGTGAGGAAGGGCCCCTCGCAGCTCCCGGAGGGTCCCCAAATCTTAGGGCTTCCTCAGTAGGAGTCCAGGGTCTCTATTGGAGGCCCATTGGTCCCTGCACCTCCCACCCCAGCTGGGGGCCACATTCCACTGAGTGGGACATGTTTGGGGCACCTAGGTCCTATCCCCCACTCCCATAGTCAGGGAGCAGCTTCTAGCCAGCCAGGATGGTGTGTCTGGACATGGGTGCAGGAGGGACCACTACAGGGTGTGAGGGGACACTTGTCTGAGGACGCTGGCACTCAGACTGCTTCCTTTGGGTTCAACATTGTCTGCCCAGACATGTGGGGGGTGGGGAACAAGCTCTGTGACCCCCCCACCTCCCCCATCCCGCTCCTGCACTGAGTCCCTGAGGCAAGGCAGTGACCGGCAGAATGTCCCGGCCCCTGGACCACCCACTGACCCCCTTCTCCCCTGGCATCTGCCACCCAGACCCATCGCTCTCCCCTGCCCCTCCTCTGTGGCCAGTACTGTCCCGGGGCCACCCTGGCAATGCAGGTTTCCTCCTTGGCGAACCTGCGTGATGGGCCGGCCTGCCCTCCCCAGGGCCAAGGTGCCATTACTGAACTACGTGGTGACTGGCAGTACTGTCAGCCGCAGCCCTGAGCCCCAGGGACCTCTTGCTCAGGGCTGAGCCGGGTAAGCTCTCACCCCCTACCGCCACTCCTCTCCTACACCCCGCATCCCCCGGGGCTGCAGCCAAGTCCGGGCTGCCTCCCAGATCCTGCCAGGTTCCTTCCAGAGGCTGAGCCAGGCCTGGACACTGTCCCCTGGAGTACAAGGAGACTCGGGGTGGGGGTGGGGGAAGGGGCTGACCTGGGTGCCATGGGGGGGCATCCTGAGCAGTGGCATGGGGGTGGCTGGCGGATCAGAGCGGTAGTCCCCTCCCCACCTCTCACCCCTCCCGCCCTGTGTCGCTGGCTGAGAGATTCCTGGAGGACATTTTTCCAGGAAAGGAGGGAGGGTGGTGTCGGTGCCCAGATCCCTGGATGGGCCTCTCTCGGCCTGCTGGGGTGAGTGCTGAGGGTAAGTTGGCTGCTGGGGGGACTCTATCTGATCTAACTGGGTTTGGATAGGAGACCCCTCTCCCCCCAGAGACAGAGGCATCCCCTCAGGAATAGGCTTGTCATCCCTCCTCCCCAGGCTGCATGTGTACTTAACTGAAGGCTGCTGGCCGCTGGCACTGGAGTTGCCCTGGGCAGCCCAGCTGTCTGTGTGGAGACTCTCGGCGCTGAGGTGGGAGTTCGAGGGCTTGTGCCGGGTCCTTTGGGTTAGACCTACCTCCATGGAGCCCAGAGTCGAGGAGGATCCAGGCCCTGATGGGACCCCTGAGTACTGGCGATAGCCATGGCCTCATCATCCTGTGCTCTGGGGCACACACGTGGTGTCCCACGTGGAATGATGGGGCACTGAGGTCTGGACGACCCAGCTGGAACTACCCCGACCTTTCCCACGCCCCACGGGAGGAGGGTCCAAGTCGGCACTGCAAAGAAAGATGCAGAATGGTTTGGGCCATTCTCTAGGAAGAAGCCGCAGACGGGTATTCAGGGACCGGATGGAGATGGTGTCCCCTGAGCTTGTCGGACTGGTGCAGGGGCAGGAATCGCCGGGGGCTGGGG